AGAGCCTTCTGTACCCATTTTTATAGCTGACTTAGGTATTGCTATAGCAGAACCAACACTTGCAGTCAGGGCTAACCATTAAACCATTATGCTCTTGTAGAGTTTACTTAGACCCCAGCATCTACTTCACAGCATAACCCCAGTACTTTAGTATACCCCTGTTTTTTCCTCTGCTCTTTTACCAAACTTCCAATCCAGATAGCCCATGTAGGACTATGACCAGTCCATCGGTATATCAGGTCAGCCTGATATTCTTTTCCTCCAGTTCATTCTGGCAGCCTGGTTGGTAGTACCTCTGAGACTCCCAACCTGGAGGTTCTTGCCTGTTTAGCTACTAGGACTGGGTACTAGACCTGAGTATCTATTTCACCAAGCTAGTCTTTACAGTAGGGCCATTGAAGATCCAGCTACTTCTCTACTCGGGTCTTCTCAAATAGACTTCTTGTTACCCAATTTCAATAGATTTATATGGCCACAAGGACTTATCTAGTGTTTGCACTATCCAATATATCAGTTTGCATTTCTCTGTGTAACTCCAATATTGCACAGATGCCCCATGACCTGCCAGTCATGCTGGTATGACTGCCATTACTTCACTAGGTCGCCACACTCCTATAAATTATTTTATAATCTGTAGAATATTTATAACTTGAACTATAATTATTATAATCCAGTAATTGCCAAATAGAATTATCTAATTGCTTATTAGAAGCAATTAAAGTTGTATCATTTTGGATGTAAGGGTGTTTTTGCGAAATATGTTGTATCAAAACATAAGGTTTTGAAAACTTTTGTTTGCAATACTCATACTGCCAATGCATTTAAAGAGTAAAAAAAATAAGAGTAAATGTATAATGTAAAAAAATTAGTATAAAGAGAATATAGGTTATATAAAATATTAAAGCAATTTATATTGATTTAAATAAATATATATTTCTAATAAATTAAATTTTTTTTTTAGTCAAAACAAATTATATGAATAATGTTTTAATGACATAACATACTAAATGAAAATAAACTTTATATTTACATTACTAACTTAATTAAACTTAATTACAAAATTGATTATTGATATATTATATATTATCTTTATTATATTGAACTTAAATTTTTTAAAATAATTAATAAATCAACAACCTCTAAAAATTGCATGCTATGAGTAAACAGTGCAGCTAATTAATTACAAGTAAGCAGTAAATAATTATAATATAGAAATGGCAATAGTGATAAAAAATGATATATATTAAAAATATAACTAAATATAACTTAGATATATATACAGTTTAATACATAAGTATAATGCTTTATCGCATAGTTCAAATAAATTTTTATATATATTACACAATACTATTAACTTTATACAAATCTCTTTAAAATAATATATAGTAAATTCTGATCATTTAAAACATCATTTTTGATCTATCTAAATTAAATGTAATATATTATTATTTTAAGTTCTTTAATCACAATAAATATGCATCAATAATAACACTTTGGGTGATTAAAATTTATTATGTCTAACTATTATGTATAATTAAATTAGTGATGCTATTAATATTAATAAATCTTAACAATAATATTGTATATACATATTATATTTTTAAAAATTGTTATTATACTTTATATTTAATAATATAAGTAAATTTTTGTATAAATATAAGTATACTTGCATTATTATACTTTATATTTAAATTTTATATAATAAGTATACTTGCATTATTGGATTTTCTTTTATTATAAATAGTTGACATTATTAGATATTAATTTGTTTTATTTTTGTATAGTAAATTCAAAAAAATATAAATACAAATTTAATATAAAAGGTAATGATAAAAAAATTTTTAATACAATGAAAAACCAATCTAGAAATAATATACCACCATACTCTGCTGTACTTATTACTTATTCTCAGTCAAATATCTTCCAACTTTTAAATACTAATGATATCACTAGACCTTATCAATCACCTAACTCTAATAATGATGGTTCATCTTCTGATTCAACTACTAAAAGCATTAGAAATATACAATGAACATATTCAAATATGGGTAAATCTTTCTTACAAGTATCTCAACATTAATCATGTTAACAATTTTCTATCCATTCTATATCTTGTCAGCCTTCCATCATCTGTTCTATATCTCGTCAGTCTTCTATCACTTTCTAAAATAATAAATTTAGATATCTTTCTAGATCACACTATACTGATTATTATCGATCATTATCTTTAGTTCAATGATTTTCTTCAAAATCATGATCACAAGAGAGATCACCAACATGTGATAAAAGATTATCAAATCAAAATCATATATATAGTCAAAGTAATACATATATAAAGGCCTTTTTTTTTACAATTTGCAACAATTTGACATTGAAAATTTTTTTTTATTGTTATATTAAGCAAACTATGACTGCTCTGATTACTTTAACTGCTTTGATTACTCTGACCACCCTGGCCACCTTGACTGCCATAACCTTCATGACTGCCATGACTGTCATGACTGTTATCAGTATTACTAGCAAGTTGATGAGTGAATGTTTGTCCAACTTAAGTATTTATATTTAATGCTCAAAAGATTTAAGGAAAGTACAAATGAAATCAAAGCCAGGCTAGATCATCTGAAAAGAAATCAAGAACAACAAGAAAATGATCTTTCTGTACAAGTAATAAATGTAAGTGTTTTGAGTTAGCAATATTTAGATCTAGTATGTTTAAGCAATATATAGCATCTCAAATCTAGCATGTTTAAGCAGTATATAGCATTTAGTATGTAATACATATATTGTTTTTTAAAATATAGGATGTGTTTATCTGTATAGCCAAGCAGCTCTTCCCATATAAAATATATCCTAGTCAAAGTGATTTGAAGAATGCACTCAAACAATATCTAAAGAAAAGTATTCTAAGTTTATGCATAATTTAAGTTTCAATCAATATACCAATAGGTTTCATAAAAAATAGTTCAGTCTTATATGTATCAATATCTATTGTTTTTTAAAATTTATTTCTTTTAATTATGACTTATTACTAATTTTTGTAATAGCTTTTGTAAAAAATAAAGAATTTGTGAGATGCATCAGTTCAAAATGTAAGGGCAGCAGTCTGGCTTATGTTCAATTGTAAAAAACTATCACTATTAAAAAAATGCTATATCAGCTGATATAATAAGTTGGAAGTAAAGTGATAAAATTTTGGATTGTTATTATGTACTCTTTGAAATAAATGATAAAGATGTCTTTTGGGTATCTATAATTGTGAAAGCAGTCTTTTCTGAGATTGCTGTATCTATACTCTTAAATAAGCATTGTGTTTTTACACTTGTAGTCTATGATATTTTACTTAATTCTAAATTCAAAAGTGTCACATATTTAAAAAAACATCTTATGCATCATATCGAAAAATATTTTATAAGTATTATTAATAACTGCATATGCTTTATTAATAATAATTATTTATTTATTTTTTAATATAGAATGATTTTGATAATAGTGGTCTATTTTATAAAATAGCTGAAACAATACTAAACAATAAGAATTATGGTTGTTCAAAACAAGCATCACTCTAGTATGAACTGTTACCCCAGTATGAACTTAAAACAGGTCCTTCATTATTTCAGCAATCATCTCAACATTAAATGAAACTTTCACAGTAGAATACTGATAACTTATTTGGTTGCAATGATAAAATTTTTGATTCAAATGTTTTTTTTGAATTAGTTTACATTTGCTAGCAATTATTATATAATAAATTATAATAAATTTTATTATTTGCATTATAATATAATTATACATTTTAGTAACAGTAATAAATTTATATTATGTATTGTAATTAGCTTTATAAAAAATATACATTTTATAAATATCTTATTAGTAATATTATCTATTAAAAAAAATACTTGATTAAACTAGTTATATATCGATTGATAACCTTATTAGATATATATTGATTGTTTAAAGCTAGTTATATATTAGTTTATATCAAAATTAATATAACCTAGCAGGGGTGATTAATATCAATATATATCTAATGAGTTACTAATTGCTATATATCTTTATATAAAATTTCCTAATGTATAAAATTTTATATAATTATATTTTAATTCAAATATATCAAGTTGGTATATTATGCTTAATAAAATAACTAATATTATCTATATAATATATATTTAAATATTTATTTTTAAATGTTTTGTTTTATTATCTTTTATATATTAACCTTTTATATTAAAAAATTTGTATTAGTGAATTGTGAACTACAAAATAATATTTTAAACATTATTAGATTTACAAGTAATTTACTTAATAATTTATTATACAATTAAAGAACTATTATAAAACTTCTAAATTATATCTTAGAGACTAGTAATTTTTTAAATTATAAATAATTAATCCAAGATTAAATATTCAAATAAAATATTTAATTAATTTTGTAAATCATTTTTATGAATATTTAATACAATTTATGATCAGTTAAGCTTCATTTTATATATTATTCAAAATAGTAAATTAGTTTAGTTACCTTTTAGTAAACATGCTTATAAGATGACAAAAGAAGTTTATAAATAAAAAGAATATCTTAACAATATTAAAGATAACTTTGAGATATTTTTCTTTAATAAATTATTAGAAACAATAAATGTATTATCATAATGAATTTGAACAATTGTTTAATAGTTTAGAATATAGAATTATTAAAACTTATAAATATTTGAAAAATAGATGAATTCATGATTGCATTTACCTTTTTTAATCTGTCAACTTAATGAAAATTATACTTGATCATTTGCTAATAGTTATCAATTTATAATTCTTAAACAACCTTGAATTCAACTACCTATAGAATTGAAGCTAAATTATACAAATACTTTAATAAGTAATATAGATAATAGAAATAAGTAATTTTGACTTGTACAAATCATTATTACAGGATATTGAACTTCATCAAGAATTTGAAAATTTTTATACAACTAAGGATTTCAAATTACACAAATTTCCTAAACTTTATAATTTTATCAAAACTTATATCTATTTTATTGTCATCTGCCAGCAACAAGTTGAGAGACTTTTCAATAAACCAGATATAAAAACCCATTTCGATATGTCCTGATCTTTAAAGGAATCCAAACTTCGTTTAGATCGAATAAGATTGAACTCAAAAATTTGAATTTGGGTATTGAGAAAATATGATCGCAAAGAAAGTATCAAAAAACTACCGCATTGCAAGACATTCAACCAATACAATTCGGTGAAGAAACTGCAACAAATTTTTTAAATAACTTGTTAGACTAGTTATTTAAATTATATATATATAAATATAAATAAATAAATTTATATTATTACTGTATATTGCATAAAAAAAATTCGCATATAGATTGTATATATAAAACAACCTCCAATAAGTAATTTTTATGATTTACATAGCTGACAGCACACCCCAGTGTCGCATGCCCAACAATGATGTTTTACATAACCCCGTGAAGTTTTTGTGATACGTTGCATGCATTTCGTATCAAAAATTTGAGTGATCGACAAATTTTGACTGATAGGTTCCCTTTATTTATTAGACTGCAAATCCGCCGATATGATATTAAAATTTTTTAAAAAATTTAAATTAATATTATGAATAAGAAATCACCTTCCAATCAAAATGAATTCCATGTGAGCTAAAACATTTTTGGTATGATATTAAATAAATTTATTATTCAGGTAACAAAAATTTGGTTAGCATCTTGTTGACACGAAGTTACGAAGCGGTATATTATTGCAGTCGCTGGAATTTCCAAATGATAGTAAGTCACTAGACTTGTTCATAAACTAATATTTGAGTAACCTGACAACCTAGTTTCTTTGTGCTTGGATTTTCTACTCGACGTTGTGTTTCAGCTATTCCCCAGCACGTCCAAAAAGAGGCAAAAAAACCTATACGATGCTCGAAAAATCTGTTCACATTACGTAACACTACAAGTTAGGCGCAGATGCATTATTGGCCATTAAGTCGTTGAATAGAAGGAAAAGATTCCAGATAGGCAATAACGATACTTATCCTACTCTAAAAAGCTATAACAAGAAAAGTTAATTCCGGAATCTCAAACATTTACGTATAAAATCAGATACTAAATGATAGACTGTATAATGTACAAAATAAAAAGCATTTTTTTTAATGGCATAATAAAAATAAATCAATCATAAATTAAACCGATCACATTTTAACTGGGTACAGGCAATTAAGTTGGCCGAATTCATAGTTAGTGTTAGCCTGTTTAAAGGTAACGTTAAAAGTCAGTAAAATGAGGTGAATTCTTATTAATAAACCTTGTTGGTCTAAAAACTAATCTAACACAAATATTCAACATGTCGAATGTTTGCCAATCATTAATCGAATGGCATGCCTGGCTAGTGTAAAGACAGCTACTCATAATCAAAGATGTGCAACGTGAAGCTAAAAAATAAGGATCGTACCCCTTTTGTTGTTAAGTCGTTATCCACACATGTCTTTGTTGAACCATATTAAGTAATGCTAAACCTTTGTAATTTCATAAGTTCGTACAGTGCGCACTATTGAAAGTCGATGTACCGTTTAACATTTATGATCACGTGCTTTTGACTGGCAGTGGTGTAAATTAGCAATTTTCTACAACAAAAAAAAATTCTTTAATCATTTCTAGAAAACTAAGAAAAATACAGTCATCCCACCATATAGTCACCTCCATATACTCACATTATATGTAATCACATTTATGTTTAGGCTTTAATTTATAAGAAATAGCCCTCCATATAAGCACATTTTTAAAAAATTTACAATGTGCCCAACTATATGATTATATGGGAGTACCTGTATATTTAATATTTTTAAATCTCAGCTTATTGTAAGTCATCCTATAAAAAACTTTCTTAATAATAGACCACATGTATTATACAGGTCTAGAACAGGGTTAAAACTCTGATAGAATGTAAAAATCCGAATCTATCGATAGATAACGGTAAGGGTTTTCACTGATGATTTCACCGACAGGTCATTTAGCTGACATCACACTGAACACGATAATTTACTATTAATATATGCTTACAACTAATACCATGCTATGGAGCCACATTGGTGATAGGATTTTGTCGGTGAAGTGAGTAGAGCCGGGTTACATTAGCGATTTATGATGATTGAGTCGGCAGTTTAAAGCATGTCGATATCTAACGCTAATTTCTAATCCGGTTTTAAATCAATTATAGTGTTTCTTTTTTTGTTAAATGCAACATTTTTATGTCTTTCAGGTGAAACATACAAATGTTACAAGAATTTCTGTTTTCTTTACAAATTAGGAAGCAGATCAGATTAACTTTAATAATATGAAATAATTGGCCTTTTATCATATTATAATAGTTTTTAGTGTATAACAAAGTCTGCGATTTTCTTCATACGAGAATTGTTTCTTTTTTTAAGTATATTAGAATGGCGATATTCTATATGCTGCGTTACATTTGTACATACAATCGTTAGAACTTTCAATTTATTATCTTTATTCGGTAATATCATTTTTAAACATTTAAATACCCCTCAGCTACCTCAACCGTCTCCATAGACCATCCACATTTTTCTCTCTAAAAAAAAAAAAATGAAAGTGTCGCCAATCCATCAACTTTTACTACTCTCTTTTACAATTTTATCAATAGTTTTTTCGGTCACGACCGCGTCAAAGGTGGAATTCTCATATATAGATGATAAGGGACCGCAATTTTGGCATCTTCTAGAAAACTCTTCTTTATTATGTCTGAAAGGCCGGCGTCAATCTCCCATAAACATCGATGTTCTTGAACCAAAAATCAGATCTATCAGACCGTCTGATGTTCGAGTTAAAAACATTGATGAGGCAGAATTAGCACATATAGTGACTACGCTTGAGGTAGCACCTGGCAAGGAAGAAGAAGGTGAAGAAGGCAGAGGTGAAAAGTTTCTGCCTGCTCAATTTGAAATTGGTGGTGAAGCTTTTAATCTACTCCAATTCCATTTTCATACACCCTCGGAACATCGTGTTAATGGTGTACATCACGATGTTGAAATGCATATGGTGTTCAAAGACCGGAAGGAAAGGATATCCGTTGTTGCGGTATTTTTTGATATTGGCAGTATAAAGGATAATGAATTTTTGAAATCTGTTCTTATCAAGGTAATTTTAAATAAAAATTAAATAAAGTTTATATACAGATATTAACTTTTCTGTATATTAGGAAATTCCAAGGCCGAATGGTTCGACAAAACTTTGTAATATACCTTTGAAAAAACTTTTTGAGGATATTAACTACATTCAGAATGTAAGCATACCACATACTTTAACTTGGCAATTATAAGTTTGTTTGATACTTTTTTTTTTAAAAAAAAACCCCTCCTTATACTAATTTTAATTTCGTTTTTTTATTATTCAAATCAAGGCATTTACATATCTTGGAAGTTTAACTACACCACCATGTACTGAGGGTGTCAGATGGTGGGTTAATGATAAACACGTCCAATATATAAGCAGTGGTCAATATCGAAGATTAAAAAATACTATAGGGTTTAATGCTAGATTTACGCAATTTAGAGAAGCTGAATTGGAATATGAATTGGATTCTGAATGGGATTCATGTGATGATTAATTTTAGAGTATATAATTCTTTAGGCTAGACACTATGTTAGTACCTTCTGTGAAGATCTGACAAAATTTGATAGGGGCGATCTCTTTTTTTTTTTTCTGGGTTATTTTAAAGGTAATATGGATGGTTTCATCAAAAACAAACAAACAAAAAAAAAAAAAAAAAGGATTAGGGCAAGGATGACTTATTTTGATAATAAAGTTATCGATCATAGACCTGGTTTGACTAAATGTGCATATTTTCTTGTCAATTGTTCTTGGGACCTTTAATTTTTAGTATTTCACGTAACCTTAAAGCATTATAAAAAATTTCAATAAAGATACCATATTAACGCGAAATAATGCACAGAGACGTTGTTCGAAAATTAGAAACTGGGAGTAGTTTCTCTTAATCTCATTAGAAAAAAAATAATTGTATCACCCGAGGCGTTCTTTCACATTAATATGATAAATAAATAAAACAAAATATATTTAAGAATCAATACTATTTAATAGTACGTAGCATAAAACCATGCATTGAGACTAAACTATTTTGGACATCAAGCTATGTTTCCCCAACAATATTTATCGTATATAGTTAGGCGGATTCATCCCATTTATTTCACCGGCCTTTAATTCTAACCAATGCTATGTAATTCTATCTACGTATAAATTGGTGATTCACCTAACACTAATGTAGATCAGTTAGACTCTGATTCACCTAACACTAATGTAGATCAGTTAGACTCTGATTCAAATAACTTATTTGTAACAACAAGTTTCTATTCATAATGAATCATGCAGCCGAGCATCATCCTTGATTAAGTTCTATGAAGAAATTTCTATGTGGAAATTTCTAAAAAGGCGTACCGAAAATTAAGTGATTCGCAAGATATAAATGCAGGTACAGGATATACAAGTATCATAGGCGATCCTCATCTATTACGATTACGTATTTTATGATCCGCTATTACACTATGTATAGTTAGGAATTATAGCAGGTTTGTATGACAACGTACCCGCTACGGTTTCTAAATCACGCGGATGAGGTACAATGATTGGTCTATCATCAATATTGTCCCCGGGTGTAGGTTAAAAATTTTGGCCCGAATTAAGCTTAATTCTGGCTAAATTTTAACCTACACCCCGGGCGTTATTTAGAGACAATACGGTACTTAGATCTACATATGTATCATAATAGCATAACGGGCTTTCAGCTTTCGATTAAGGCGAAGATAGAGTGCAGATATTTCCACACCTATTTTGATATTTTCCGCGCCCCGCCAAAATATGTGAATCGGATTGGCTAATATAGAACTCGTGTAACAATTTGTTCATATTATCATTCCACGAGTTCTGTATTAGCCAATCTGATCTGCATATTTTAGCAAGGGGTGTGGAAATATCAAAAATGCGAAGATATTTTAAACGAAGCTAAATTGTAGCAAAATATTTTAGATAAGACTAAATTTGTCTTAATGAAAACATTACTACGAAATCAGTTAATATTCTAAGACCATAAGTCTAACACAGACAAGACCCGTCTTATTAAATAAATGAGGAGCCGTCCCAAAGTGCGATTAATAATTTTTTTAAATTCATCTTCTACGTTTAATTGTATAATGCTATTTGTGACAACTTACCTAATAATGAATGACATTCCATGTTACAATTAGATAAAGTAACCGGAGGTATAATGGCGCAGGGGGTAATTTGGCGCATCAAGAAAACAGGATTTTTTACTAAGCAAGTCGAACCTTATCCACTAAATAAAGTTATTGAAAATACCGTTCTAAAGCTGCTCGATACGTTAGTATCGAGGCAGCTTTTGTCTCGAATCGGCCCGTAACTAGGCATGTGACATGCCCTATTACAGTCACATGGATAGTTTTGTGGTGACGTGTCTAGTATGACGATCATTTTAGTAACGTAATAGACTTTATAGTAGTATGTGGTAATTGTTACGATTAGTATGTTTAGTATATTCTGATCAGTAATAATGACGTCTCGTGAGTTTATTAGATTTGAGTATTTAAGTATTTTGTATTGGATAGAGATAGAGGTAACTCTATTTCTTGATCCCTTCCGCCCTACCCATGTTTACGGAAAAGTAATGTTTTCGTGTAGTTTGAGTTTTATGATTGACTTGTCGTGACAACAGTCATTAAAAGTTTTTTGTATTGTTCTGGATAGCCTAATATAGGTTAGTTATTCTCTTACAAGTTATGGCCTGTCAGGATGACAGTCATTTTATTAAAAAAAAAAAAAAAAGAAGAAAAAGCATTGATGTTTTTTGAATTAATATATCTAAAATTAAAGAAGAATAAAAAAAAACTCTTTCCTGAAAATCCCAATTTTATAACAAAATTGTGAAAACAAAAATTTTTTGAAAAAGTTGAACTAAAACATATCTTAACTAATTAACTAAGTATTAGCATTAACAAATAGTATAACACAATTTTAACAGAATTAAATGAAGTTACAAGAAAGCTTTTTCACTTCAGTTTCCTTCTTACCATTATTGTTGATTAAGTTGGCAATTGGAACCAACACTAGTAAAGATAATAATAAGTCTTAAGACAAATATTTTAAACAGTATATACAAATACAATTCATTTAAGAAATTATGAATAACCAAAACAACAAGAAAAAAATATAAAACTAATAACAAAATTGCTATTCTTATACAAGCAAATAATAAGAAAAATACTAATGAAAAAAAAATTATTAAAAAAAATGGAAATTCTAGTATAGTCCTAAAAAATTTGACAATGATATTATTATATACAACAATAACAATCATAATCTCAAATCTTCATATGAATAATCAAACTGAATAAGACCTGATTTAGAATCCAAACAATATAGATGCTGCTTCTCTTTCATCAATGCAGATGGAAAAAACAAACAACTCTGTCTTATCTAATCTAATACCTTAGTCTAACTTGGATGCCAGCACCCTAGAACAATAATCCAATATGGAAATAGAGCACATATCAACAAATATAGAGAATAATGACAATGAAGAAACCTGATTAACTAATACAATACTTGAAGAATAGTCATAAAAAAAAATATCATACAGCCAAGCACTAGTTAATAATCTTTTAGAGTGAACTAGAAGAACCCCAAACTCTCATTTCAAAGCAGACAAAGAAAAAGAATGAAAAAAACATATACAGGCAACTTTAGAAAAAATTAGACAAGAAAAACTAGAATCATTTGATGTAACAATTTGAATATGACAAAAACCAAGAATATACTAACCTTATTTCAAAACTTAAAAGAACTGATCAGATACAAGTTGTCAACAAAACTAACTACTATTCATATTCCAATAGCAATAAAAGCAAAATTTTTTTATAGAGACACAGTCTTCTTTAGAAGCTTCACTTGAATTCTAGTAATTAGATCACAATATTAGAATGAATTCAATAGCTTATTTACTGATGCCCTAGATGTATATAAAAAACAGCATGACATATTAGCTACTAATAAAAAAAACCAGGACCAAATTTTCAAATTATTATGTACAAAGCTGGCACTAGATTATTTAACCAATCTGAACTTTAATTTTTTAGATATATGGAAAATCACAAAATATATTTTCTATTTAATTGGTTTTGCAAAAATTCAACAGAATCTAGATTTTGAAATAACAAGAAAAGTGATCTTAGAACTAATAAATGAACTAACTAATTCTCTTGCCTGATATACCAGAACTTATCTCAGACCATTTGTCTCAAGCTATTCCTTTTGATCTAGCTATTACAAGTCACCAGGTTCTTATACTAGCAGTTAGAACACTATGTCTAATATTTTCTTTTAATAAGCTACTAGACATATATATTGCAGACAATCATGAAAATCTACCAGCTTCATATAAAGATTTAAGAAATAAAGTACAACATCTCTTTTCTATTATAAACAGAACTTAAATTGAAAAAGCTAGCTTATTATAGAGAGATCTTACAAAAATACTATATTTTTCAGCAAATCTCAGCTAAATATTTTGATTTACCAGTACCAAAAAGCCTTTTGCCTTCTATCTTACAAGACTTAATACCCAGACTAAGAGAGAGATTCTTCTTTTTATCTGAAAGTCAAGATAATTTTAAGGAATATATCAGATTACTATGCATAGACTATTTCTTTACTAAACTACCTAACAACTATATTATTTCTAAAAAACAACTACACATAGATCTAACAAACTTAAAAATATCTAACTTTATATTTCCATTACAGAGCATAAAGAAATAAATGTTTTTATCAAGCATGTTTTACAAATCTACAATATCCTATCACTATTACCACAAGCTTATTATAACTTCAACTATACAGATCTTTCAGATCTGCCTGAAGATGCCAATTTAGTTATTTTGGTCAACTTAACTTTACCAATATCAATCTCTAAAGAGCTAAGTATAAAAGTCAAAGCATTATGGAAATACTATTATTTTCATGCCATACCCTAGACTTGGATTCAGATAGAAAGAAAAGAAAAACAGTTAGAGATTGGATCAACCTTGTCCAAATTACCATCAACAGTAGAACAACTTTAGTTGACTTTTGAACAAAAACAAATTACAAATATACACATTCCAATATGAAAACATCACAATATTTAATTAGTTATAAAAACTCTTAGACAAAACTTCATCTATCACTCTTTACCAGAATACATTTTTGACCTTATAGACTTACCTGAACCATCTTTTGAAATTTTTGATTTATCAAAACAAACAACAACTACACATACACAAATGTTAAATAAGGAAGAAGATGACAATATAGATCTCTAATAAGTACAAGCTATCATATAAACAATCTGTTTTTAGCAGATAATAAGAATGAAACAAAAAAAATTAAACTAAATTTAAATGAAAAAATTAACATAACTATATATAACATTAAAGATATCAACAACATACTAAAAATGCAAAACTGAATCAAACATTGTATAGAATCAAATCTATATATAATCTCTATAACTAAAACTAAATTAAAAGACTTAGTAACAAAATCATATACCAATTCTTTTCATAAGATATTTATATCTAACTTTTTACAATATAACTTGAATTAAAGAGAAGCTAGCTTGGGAACAGCTTTATTAGTTTGCAACCAACTATAGCCTTATATTCATAACATCAATACTCAACCTGGCACTGCAATTTGCATTAATTTCAATTTTTCAAATAACAACAAATCTTACATTATTTCAACATATCTTCTTTCAAACTATTCTTCACTTTTAAGACAGACACAATCTCAAATTTGCTTCTAGGTCACAGAGGCCAGATCTTAAAACTGGCATTTAACTATTCTGAGTGACTTCAATGCAAATTAGGACAGAAACAAATAACTTTCAATTTTTACCAACCTAAATGCTACCAATTTAATTAGCTTATTGGATTTTTATAACATACAAATACCTACTTGGCATGGTCCTAATTCAACCAGTCAAATAGATAATTTTTGGATTTCTTCAAATATACCTTTAGCCTTTGATCTACCAATAATAATTGACACTACTTATATTACTAATAGTAACCATTATATACTAAACACAACATAGCATACCAATTTTTATTTGCCAAAAGCTTCCAAAAACAAAAAAAAGAAAAAGAAAATATATTTATATGAAAAACTACAACAGATATATAGAATGAATTTGCAAATACGGTAAACATATTATTCAATTCTCATGAAACCTCTTCATCAAACATAAATAAAGATAATATTGATAGAACATGGAACTACTGAGCATTAAAAATAAAAAAAGCAATGGATAAACAAATTTCTTATACCTTTATAGCTCCACAGCCTTTCTTTGCAATGTTACTAAAGGCAACAAAGCTTCACACAACTCTAAAAAATATTAACAAATACCTACAACAACTATCAAATAGAGCAGCAGACACAATAGCCCAGGCCAATCAGTACTTAATGAAAGCAGCCACCTTAGCAAAAATTAGCATTACTCCTATTACTCAAGAAGAATTTGCTCATTCACAGTTAAACACTATAGATCAAGTCAAACAA